AGAACGGGAATGTGCGTATATCTGTCTCGCACAGTCGCAAAATGGAGGCGTTAATAATTTTATGCATTTATGCTGACTCCAGCACCCGGCTCCACACAACTCGCAAGGCAGTCTAGTATTAAGTGCGTCTTCGCTGCATATACAGGATGAGTCACTATTTTAGCACCTACTGTAACTCTGGAAAGGTAGAAGTTATTTCAATGCAGTTTTCACGGAAATGCATGAGAGAATGAAGCTAATTGATGAGTGTACCGATTTCTACTTTATCTCTTGTATTTTACGGGATACGAGGTAATCTTGTTTTTCAAATGGAACTATACATTTTTTTCACTATCATGACGAAGCGTAACGATACGAATCCAACGATATACATAGTTACATAACATAAGATATTCGTATGTTAGATCTGCATTTTTGAGTAATTTATTGAGTAAACATTGAATTTTATAACTAGTATTTAACGGATATTTTGAACGTAACAGTCCGCTACACGGGGTCACGCAGCGCTTCTGCAAACGAGCGTTTGGGACAAGGAGGGATCTTTGTATTTAAAGGTACGAAACATATTACAAATATTAACAAAACTGCTGTAGTTTCGTACCCTGAACTCTGCTTTCCATCCTTTCGCATTTTCATTTTTTTTGTATTACTTAAGGGTTGAAAATACGGATTTGTAGTAGTATTATTTTATTTAAAAGTGTCGTAGCACAGTCGTAGCATATTAACGGGATTTTGAAACTAAGCTCGCTGCAACAGTTTTGAGAATATTTGGAATATGTTTCGTATCTTTAAATACTAAGATTCTTTCCGTGCCCCGAGAGCGCGCAATTAGGGGGAGCGCTGCATGACTGTGTGGCGGGCGGATGGGGACTGTTGGGGATCAAAAGTCGAGGAAATTATGTTTCATGATCTAAAACACTATTTGTTTCCTGTTCTAACCGAATGTGATGTCTGTCTTTTGTGTGCAGTCACGGTGCATAGTTGGGACGATTTGCAGTGATAGAGAGTTGTGACCAACCGTCTATGTAGTGAACAACCTACTCCAGCCTTAGGATATGTTGAATTACACTTGTGTTTATGTGTGTGTTTTTTTAAAATTTTTTAACGACAGGCGAAATGCATTTACGCAGATTCGACCCAGACTCATATGCGGGCAGATTCCTGTGGGACTCAGCCGTAGGTAATACCCCCTAAAACCCTACGTCCCTCGCCCCACCTACGGAACCGCCGTCAGGCATTGCATCGTTAGGTGTGGTGGCGGGGCTATTCTAGCCCCCCTCCTCTACGCCTTTATTGACCTCCACTTCTCGCATGCTCTTCAATTCTGAGGCGTCGCATGACCCGGGCAGCGGACGTTGCAATTGCGGCCCATTTCTCTTCCGTAGTCATCATCAGTGGTATGGTGTTTTTCGGTGTCATGCGCTGTTGTAGGATTTCCTGCAGCTGGTCTCGTTCTCCTCAGAATCGCAGGCAGTTATACACCACGTGCTCCACATCCTCCTCCTGTCCTGGGCAAGCTGGACACGTCGGGTCGTCATTGAGCTTAATCTGTGAAGGGACGCTCTAAAGCATCCATGCCCAGTCAGCAACTGAGTCACGAAGAAGTCCACTTCTCCGTGAACCCTCGACGCCCACTCGTTGATCCGTGGGATAAGACTGTGTGTCCACCTGCCGTTCAGCGTTGCGTCCCAGCGATTTTGCCACTGTCTCATCGTTTCCATCTTTTCTTCTTCCAGCGCAGCGAGGGCTTCTGTTCGTGAACCGTGTCTTCCCTGGTAGTAGATGCGTTAGCGCTCGTCCGCCAGAATCTCTATAGGCGCCATTCCTGCTACTACGCATACGGCGTCATATGACACCGTGCGATACGCACAGGCCACTCTCAGAGCACTCCCACGGTAGACGGATATGGTCCTCCTGGCGTATGCTGCTGTTGCCAGGGCGCTGGCCCAAATGGGCGCTGCATACAGCAGGGTCGAGCTAACCACGGTCGCGAGGAGCTTCCGTCTGCTTTGCCTGAGGTCACCGGTGTTCGGCATAATGCGCGACAGGGCAGAGATCACACCATCCGCTTTCTGGCTAACGAGTCGAAGATTTTCGTCGAAATGGAGACCCGCATCGATCCATACGCCGAGGTACCGCAGGTGAGGCCCGGACTGGATCTCATGTCTCCCCACTCTGAGGGAGATGGTCTCCCGTTTCTTCCTGTTGGTAATCAGCACTGCCTGAGTTTTGTGATCGGCCAGGACCAGCCCGACCAAAGACAGCCACCGGCGAATTATCGCGATGGAGCTGTTGGCCACGTCAGCGAAGCCAAAGGTCTCCGAGCCATGTGGTAACTCCAGTCTCAGTACCGCATCGTACATGATGTTCCAAAGTAAGGGACCCAGAACCGATCCCTGTGGAACACCACCCGTCACGTCATAACTCCTCGGACCGTCATCTGTGTAGTACAACAGGACTCTAGTACTCGCTGATGATTGTCCTGATATCTTTGAAGTACTCGCTGATGATTGTCCTGATGTACACTGGGACTTCAAGGAGATAAAGGGCATTTAGAATGCAGCTCCACCTAGCTGAGTTGAAGGCGTTTTTATTATCCAAGGTCACGATGGGGCAGTACTTCTTCGTGCCCCTACTCCAGCGTGCTCCTGATATGGCCTCTCTAGTAATGCTCACCACTTTACCAATTGCCTCCACTTTTGAGCGCGCCTTTCGGAAACCAAACAGATTATAGGAAAGGCCGCTGTTGCTTTCGACGAGTCTCAAGTCTGCTGCAAACAATTCGCTCCTGCTGTGTCCATCCGGCGGTAAGATGACGGGTCACATGGTGGTTTCTTGCCCTTAGGCAAGAGCACTAGGCGTCGTTTCCAGCAGCGCGGGAAGGAACCTTCCCTCAGACATCTGTCGAGAACGCCCAAGAGGTCTGGGCGAGCTTCGATGGCAACCTGCAGAGCCGCGTTTGGTATTCCGTCCAGACCTAGAGCTTTAGTGTCCAGAATCCGGCGGCAAGCATTCCGAAGTTCATCCGGACTGACTGGGGGCACGTCCGTGGGTCGATGTATTGGGGCTGCGTGGTTCGTCTCCGTCTGGATCGGGAAGAGAGTGGTGACGATGTTCTGCAGTAGGTTTGGAGAGGTCGGGGACATGTTGACCGCGCCATTCAGCTTGGTCATGATTTTGTACGGCCTGCCCCATGGGTCCTCATCATTCTCAGGACACAGCTCACGCCAGCAGAGACGTTTGCTTGCTTTGATGGCCTTTTTCAAGGCGTTGCGGTCATTCTGGTTTTGTTCCCGCAACCTGAGTCGGGCCGGCCCCTTGGTCTATGGCACAGACGGTACGGTCCGGTCTTCCGGTGGTCCTTCAGATATGGTCACATCTTCCATCATGGCGACGAAGGCCTCCGTGTCCAGTTTTTTCATGCTCCACTTGCGACTGGGCTGGTGCAATGTCCGACGCTTCTCGGGTTCATCCATCTCAATGAGAATAGCATGATGGTTACTATGCGTGTATTGGTCGCTCACATCACAGGTTAGACCCGAGCGAGCAATGCACTTGCTCACGAATGTCATGTCGACCATGGAGCTATCGCCATTTCGGGAGAAGGTTGGAGAGTTCCCGGTATTTGCTAGGACAACGTCCAGTGAGGCTACATGGTCTAGAACAGCCTCTCCTCTTCGGTTCGTTACCCTGCTGCCCCACGCGGTAGGCCATGCGTTGAAATCGCAAGCGATGATAACGGGTCTCCGTCCTCGTGCATCGGCCACCAGACTGTCCAGCAGCGTTTCGAATTCGGGTATTGAGAGACTAGGGGGGCCATATACACTGTAAATGTATATGCCATCTGCCTTAACCCAGGTAAAGCCGGTCGATGGTACAGTCATGATCTACCGGACCTGACGCGAACCGTAAGTCCACATCGCGGCTCGACCTGACCTGTCTGAGAACCAAGTATGGCCCTCCATGTTCGTGTACTGCTCGCAAAGAATCGCCACGTCGATCTCAAAGTCTCTCACCGTTTGTTGCAGCAGGTCCTGTGCTGCATCACAGCGGTTGAGGTTCAATTGGAGTAACCTCATTTTTTCTGCCTGTTCGTCGTCTGGAGTGCCCTCTGATAAACCGGGGACTTCGGGCCTCCAGAGGTGTGGCTGGATTCAGACTTCGCAGAGTATAACATGCTGTACGAGTCCTTTTCGCAGTCTTCGCCACATGACCCTCTTCGCCAAATTCGCGGCAAAGCTCGGTTCGTTCAGGTCCCTTGCGGGAACTGGCACAGTGACCGAAGTTCCAGCATCGAAGTCCCTCAATTCAGCCAGCCGACCTCTCCAGCTCCAGTTCTCCTGATCCGCTTGGCACAGGTACCGACATTTTGTAAGGACGGGTCGCTCCTCATTCGGCGAAGAATGTCCGCCTATGACGATTTCTGCCCGTCCACCTTGACGAGAAGACCATCTGTGCGGGTAGGTCTAAGACGCGGACGCTTGAGTTTAGCACCCTGCGACGCCTCATTGGCCGGTTTTTCCCTCTTTCTTCCCCTTCGGAGCAACTTCTCACGGGTATTCCGGTGGTCGCTCACTTCCCGGTTTCTCGCTGGCCACTTCAGGAGTTTCTGGTGTTCTGCCAGAATCCCTTTGACGTGGCAACTCCTCTTGCCTTCTAGAGGAGGAAGGGGAAGGCGACTCCTACTCCTGCTTCATCCGCTTACCCGACTTATCCACCTTCTGTCGGGCATCCACTCCGGGCGAGGTCTGCGTCTCCCTTGTATCCGTGAGAGATCGGACGGTACTGGCTGATCCCAAATCTTCATCTAGGTCAGTTAGCTTCTCGAAGAGGCACTTGATTGACGTTGCGTAAGCCTTAATCTCCTTGTGCACATTATGCTTTGGGTTCGCGTACTCGTATAGTGCATTCGCTTTCTGCACCAACATTCCCCAAAGCTCCTGGCGCTTCCTCAACTCGCTATCTGGTTTGAGTGTCTGCTGGGCTTTTATACTCGGTTTATGTGTGTGTGTGTGTTTATGTGTATGTGTGTGTGTTTATGTGTATGTGTGTGTGTTTATGTGTGTGTGTGTGTTTATGTGTGTGTGTGTGTTTATGTGTGTGTGTGTGTTTATGTGTGTGTGTGTATGTGTGTGTGTGTGTATGTTTATGTGTGTGTATGTTTATGTGTGTGTATGTTTATGTGTGTGTATGTTTATGTGTGTGTATGTGTGTGTGTGTGTGTATGTGTGTGTGTGTGTATGTGTGTGTGTGTTATATAACATAAATATTGGTACAAGTTTCAACGTTCCAGCATGTACAGAAGTGCGCCAATTACCGTTGGCACGGAAAACACATAATGCGCGAAAAACCTCAACGGTACCGAGGTGTAGTATAAAAAAAATGAGCTGGGCAGCGAACGTCTAATATAGGTATCCATTTCATGAGTGCATGCCCAATTTTCGACAAGGTGTAAAATGTTGCCTGATGATAATATCAATCTTCGAAATGTCGTGAATGCGTACAAGGGTAATGACATTTTTACTTTCTCGTTTCTACTCACGCAACCTGGAGAAAGTTATGTACTGCTGCGAAAAAAAGGTGAATTTTCGATACAAAAACTAATTGTCGGGCCGTGGTAACGAAAAAGCAGTGTAGCCAGAATCCGTGTTTGAGTGTCCTCGATACTGAAAAATCGATTGAAGGCAAAACGTTTCTGATCATCAAATAGCTAGCAACTAAACCGTACAGCCGATTTTCTCCAAAATTGATATTTCACAATCGATCTGGCTGATGCCGCAGCTCCTTAAATTTGAAACCAATATTTTCATTTTAGAAGTACTTTACATGAGGGACCTTTCCAAAATGGAAATTCCAATTCTTAACTTGGGACATTTCCAAAATTTATCAAAAAGGGCACGTTTTGATTGAATTTTGACCTCGCATAGTGTAAAGGACGGTCAAGAGAACGATATAGGTTTCGTTTCTTTGAATTCCATGAGCTTTGGAAATTGCAAAATTTCAATTGTTTGAGGCGTGTTCCTGCATATACAATTAAGAAGATAATGTGTTAATCAGAAGTAGATCTTCAAGTCAGGTAATGTTTAATTCTTTTGAAAATATGAGTATTTGTTCTGTAATATGGCGTCAAACACAGCCCCTTTTTAAATTTTAAACAATTATTTTTTTTAAAAAGGCTCCAAATTTTTTCTTAATTTTTTTTCACGTATGTAGCAAAGATGGGTGAAAAAAATGGTGATGTCACTCCAATGAGAATGTAATTAGAAATGTGCTTAGAGACAGCCTCAAAATAAAAGAAACGTTTAATATTATTTAAGTATTAAAATATTTTAAATTGTGCCTAATAATTGAGTTAAATGTAAAAACGAATGCATGATTTCGCTTTGCATAATTAGTGCAGGAATGAGTAATACGTGTAAAAACGAGTAGTTTTTGATGAATTTTGAGGATTTGATAATATTATATTTAATTATTATCTTTTTTTCATCAATTTGCATTTTGTTGCCAGCGGTATCAAGAAAGTTGATTTGCAAAATACCATACGAATAAACGGCTGTTGTTACTTGTCGCAACCCATTGTTGCAACGCCGCACTGATAACAGAAGGCGATAGTGATAACCGCAGCTGGTTCCCGGTAATATAAACTAATAATTTTATTTAGGGATATGCAGAGAGCATCGTCCATCGATATATGTAGAACGTTAATACACTGAATAAACGGCAGAAAGTCGTTTTCATTTTAACGTTTGAATTTTAAAAAAACTAATATTTCACGGGGATTTTTATGACGTAAAACACCGCAAAAAATTATCAATAAAATGCCCCAAAAGTAAAAAAAAAAAAAGAAAAAAAAATACGTAAAAAATTTCTTCGGAACCAATTCAGAAGAACGCAAGTTGTTTGATATATTACTGATATAATCGATTCTTCCTTTCGTTCAAGTAAACTCAGCTTGCAAACTAAGTTTGGACTGATCTTTAGCAGGAAATCCCGGCTTTTGTTATCGAAATCGGCCGAACCGACAATGCAGCTGATAGGCGTCACAGGAACCCGATTCACATACAATAGTTGACATTTCGATTTCTTCACTCAGAAATTGTATAGGCTACTTGGGACTTCTGTGGAGAACATTTATTTCATCTCGTAAATATTATTTGAAGCAATTATCATTAAAATTATATAAAAATCTATGTACTCTACGAAAAATGCATTAAAAATGACGTTGAAAAAAATGACTTAATAGTCGAAATTGACCAAAAAAGCATATTAAATGGGTCATTTCTTTATGTCATAACATAAAATTAATGTCTATAGTAAAATGCATTGTTCTAAACTGAAAAAAGACATTTAATTAAAATTCGCCCAGCTAGTATTTATATTCACGCTGTTTTTCTCGGCATCAACCGGAAATTTGCCGGGCAATTTAGACCTTTATTTTTGAACGGTTTGCTAAAGCGAGAATCTCAGACGAAAGTAATTGTATTACGCGAAACTCAAGTAATGTGAAAACGAAATTCGACATTTTGTTTCACGATGCGGATTCGACGCACGATGAGTGCGAATCTGCTTTTTTTCAAGCGACGGAAACCACGGAAGACCAAAAAGAAACAGTGATGCATGTCAAGATGAACAGGTGAGTGACAGAAATACCGATGCATGAGTAGATGATTAGGTGAGTGACAGAAATATTGATGATGGTTTTTAAGGAACAAGAAAATAATAGTTCAGGCAATAAGTCTTAACATTGTCATCAACAAGGCAATTTTCTAGTCAATTAGAACTTAACTTGCAACCCTACGAGTTTGTTAAGTGCACACCTACCTGTAGGTTACGAAATTTAAAATCCTTAGCAATAGGTTTTAACATCCTTAGCAATGTAAATAAACAACTAACAATTCATTGCGAGTCAAAATCTTCCTTTTAAAAAATTGTAAGAATATAAGATGCCAATTACTGAGTTTTCTTACACTAACAGGCTACAACACACAGCAAGCTTTTTAAAATAAGTTCATTTATTATGGCACCTTTAAAAATACTTTAGTATGTGTGCTTTCTACTTGGAATCAAGCCTTTACTTTCTGAAATTTACTTTCAGATAAATCTTGCCAAATTATCTGTAAAGCTCAAAATATATTTTACATAATCTTTATTTCTTACTTCATGGATTTTTTAATAAACCAGGTAACCAGACCTTACAACAACGCATGAATGGGAATTGACCCAGTAAAATATGAAACTGAATACATACCAATTGAGCTTGTCGATTAATAAAATAAAATGACTGGTTCTGTTGTCAAAAAAATCCACATACTTTTCTGAGCACATGATACAATAGAAATAATCAGATAAATGTAAATGGAAAGTCACCTTTGAATTTGGGATCTTCACATCACACCATCTTCCATCTATCATGTGCCTCTGAGAGAGTACACGCATTTGTGACTCAAAGCTGGAGAATCTTATAAAACCAAATCCTTTGGATTGTCCAGACTTCGGATCTTTCTTCACCTGCAATGAGTAAAAAAAGTCCATCTACATGATATTTCCAATAAAAATATATGAATTAATATGAAAATTTGGAGTAAATCATACATTTACCAATCTCTTTATAATCTAATTGTTTTATTTTAATAAAATTAGGTAACAAGCAGAATTTCCCCTTTATAATCACCAATACACAATGTTTAAAAATAGCTATTACATTCACAATAATACAGAAACTGCAAGCTGTAAGCATATCCCTTATCAACGAAACTATATCAAGTCCAGGTTGGTCAGCGATAGCTTTTTGCAATTTATGTTTATTTTTCTTTGGTTTTCCATTCCATGCTTTAAAACAGAAATTTTCAGTTTCTGTTGCACACATTTCCTTTACATTAGCATCCGCTTCTTATTCTTAGTATACTTGTGTCCTGTCATCTCCAAAAGGAATTTTGTACAATTACAGCTTTAAAAGAGGGGTTCTTAAATTTTTTTAAGACGTAAATGTGCAATTTTTGAAAATTCAGAGTTCAATGAGACCTGGGTCATTCCTTTAAGCAACCCATAAAACAAAATTTGGAGCGGTTTTTGATTTTTTTCTTCTTCAAATTGCCTTTATTTCTTGCCAAATTACAAAAAAACTATTTGTATTTTCAAAAAATTGAACATGAAATTATTAAAATATCTGTCTCTAAAGAACAGATTTCTTGAAGGGATAAATCTCCATTTTCAATATTAAAGTTGTAGGAATATGACCCCCCCCCCCTTCCCCAAAATATTGCACTCTAGCAATTTACAAAAAATCTGGGATATCAACAAACACGAGATCTGCACCATTCTCTTCAGCGTCATTTAAACTATTTGAGGAGAAAGATTGATAAAAAATTTACTGCTGTTCTCGAGAAAAGTTTGAAAATGTTTTTGAGTCTTTGTGTAAAGTACCCTCAAAAATTAAAATATTCGTTAGAAATGTCCAAAGCCTCGAGTGCATTCAGATCAATTGGAGAATATCCATTTTTAAGAATTCAGCTGAACGTTGACCACCAACTGACAAAAGTTTTCGGTCAATTGATTTTTCGATATCAAGGACCCACAAATTGTGGATCCTGGCTATACAGCATGTTAGAGGATTTTTTCTATATTTAGCAACAGAATTTATCCACTTCTTCATACCCACAGCCTGGTTACTTTTCTGGCTAAAATTCACCTTTTTCTGGCGCACAATTGCATAACTTAATTGATGACATAACTTCGTAATGGTGAGAAAGTAAAAAACTACTGTTGTAATTTGAATTATTCAAGAAGGTAACAATTATACCAACTGATCTGTAATATGGTGTGTTTAAAGTCTTGGCTAGTGTTAATCATTGCTGTATATTCTACATAAATGGTCATTTATTACATAAACACATAGTTGTATAGTTGTTTTTTAATGTATAGCATGGCTTAAACTTCTCTTTCATACCAATTTTAAAGCAAAAATTAATATTTGCTAAGGGAAGTCTTCTGATCCGAAAGTATTTAAAAGAAACAAAATTATCATTTAAAGCACGAGAAAAAGAAGAGACATTTAATTTTTTAAAATATATGTATGGGAATATTGCAGGAAAACTGTATGATATAATCATTACTTAAAAGTAACCTCATTCACTGGTAACTAAATGGAACTAAAATGTTTGCAATCTTTCAACCAACACTTCTCCATCAAAGAAAATAACATGTGCACTCTCATTCAAGAGCAGCATTTTGCATAGCTATGCTGTGACCCTTTCTGCCATAGAGAATTGCATACGCAACATCTCTCTCAAATGACCCATATTCTTTACATCAAGCAAATATTACTTAAATATTTGAACATTAAGGTGTGGCAACAACTGTGAGTCTGGCCAGCATCTACTTAGGCAACCTAATACCATTGTATGTACAATAAGATTGCTTACATTTTTATAAATAATTTAATAAAATAACAGGTGAGGGTAAACAAACCAAAAAGAATTGATACTTTTACTAAATCAGGATAAGGAAGTTCATAAAAGAGTAAAATCTCCCAAAATTGAAAAACGTCTGCATACAAATATATCTGTAAGGGAATGGGAAGAACTTTAAAAAATTATTAAATGAGGAAAAATCCGATTTTCTTCGAACTAGAGAAAGGGAAAAGAAATCTCTAGCCAATTATAGTAACTGAAGAGAGAGCAAAGAGACGTATCAAAGAAAGGCTCAGGAGAAATCCCAAGCGAATCGATAAAGAATGGAACACCAAAGCTACTGCAAATGGAGCTAATGAATAGGCGTATAAATAAAGGTGATGTACCAGAAGACTGGAAAATGGCTTGTATAACCATAATGTATAAGAAAGGAAGGAAAGACTTGTGAAAATTACAGAGGGATAGAAGAGACAACACGTGTAGGTATATGAAAGAATGTGAAGAGAAGAGGGATACAAGGAGTATGAAAAAGAACAAAGTGGTTTTAGGATGGATCAATCTTGCTTAGATAACCTGTTTTGCCTGTCTCAGGTGATGTAAAAGAAATGGCAAAAAGGGAGAGAACTTCACATGGACTTCCTAGATATATAGCAAAGGTCTATGATAGTGTGCCAGTCATAAAGTTATGAATACAAGTATTGAAAATAAAATATTAATAAATGCGGTGAAGGAATTATGTATAGATCAAAAGGGAAAGCTGAAAGTTTGAAAACAGATGACCCAAACATTATCCTATATGATAAGGACTATGTCAAGGATACTGTTTGTCACCTACTCTTTAAAATATATGTTAAAGCAGTGTTACAGTAACGGAAAAAAAAAGTGCTGGGATGGAAATACCACTTCATGATAATGCAACACATTATACCCTATAGTTCGCTGAAGGTGCAAAGACAGGAAGAAAAAACAGAATACTGGTATCTAGGCAGTACGCATGAAGTATTTACTATGGAAACTTGAGTAAACAACTGGGGATGTAAAGTACTTGGGAACAACAATAGGGAAACAGGGTTTTTATGGAAAAGAATGTGAAACCTGACTTATTAAAGGAAGCAAAATTTTAAGAGTCTGAATCCAGTGGTCTAGGATCCAAATATAAGCAAGAAAACAAAAAATAGAATACATAAATGTGTGATTGAAAGTGTTACATTGTATAGAGCAGAAATATTGCAGCTTCCAAAACAACAGAAAAGAAAATTAGAGCCCTGGAAATGGATTTCTTCAGAGACCTGCAGCAACATCTAGAAGGGGAAGAATTAGAACTGAACGGGTTAAGGAAATAATGAATCTGCAACATGATACTAGGGAGGAAATTGAAAAGTAACAACTCACTTGGTTTGGACATGTACAGCAAATGGACATGAAAGGAGAAAATGAAGCAGATCAAGACCAGGATGAAATGACCAGATCAGAAAGATAATCCAGAAGTGAAAATTACCTCCTGATTCCTAGAAGAACAGAGAAGACTGAAGAAGAAGATTAGGGGCCGAAAGACCAACGTAGCATTTAAGAAACTGACAAAAAGAATAAATGAAGACGACGGAAGACCGAAGAAAAACCAAGGAGACCGAAGAGAAACCACGGAGACCGAAGAAAAACGAATGGGCAGACTAAGGTGTTGCAAGGGCATGTGATTCTCGAATAATTAATTACTACTAATAGTGTATTTATCATCAGATATTTCATATCACAGAAATTATTAGTTTATTCTGTACTACACTTAAAAGATCTTCCACTCTCCTATACACTATTACAGACATTTTTACCCGAGCGGCAATGAAAATATTTTGAAGAGTGAACATCAAATAATCATAATTACAAAGAGCAGCATAAAACAGAAACTAATCATTTTGGTAGATTTAATCATGGAAACAAAGAAGCAAATAACATGATGAAAATCAAATCTAAGACTTGTGCAAAACATCCTAAAGAAAAATAAAATAAAAACACGGAAAGAATTATTTTCTGGCACACTGAACCTTTGCGATCGTTCTGTGCAACTCCTGTTTTGTACAGGAGAGTAAAATTAGCCTCAGTTTCCTGTACAAAACACGAGTTGCACAGAACATTCACAAGCACACGACACTTATTTGAATTTAATTTTTGATTGCAAATTTTGCCAGATAGGCTGTAGTATTTGTTTTGTTTGTTATACATGTACCCACTTTACTCTTTCTGGTCAAAATATTTTCTGTCACATCTTGATAACTTCATATAAAGTCATCCTTTCGCATTCTAATTGTAACCAACTTGACTTGAAGGGTTGCAAGTTTGAGTCCTGCCTTGGGCATGAATCTTCACTTGCATGGTGGAGTTCTCCTAACCACCTTCCCGCCCTCATCCTTCCATTCCTGTCCAACCTAGGCAGTGCTGGGGCTTGTGGCACTTGCATTGAAGTATGTGATATTTTGGCTGTGGGACGAATCCAATTTAAGGCATGGCTGTAGTGTTTTGTGGTATGCTGGAGCTCCTACACCTACAATGTATCACTTTTCACATCCCCTTCCTTCCCCTTCAAGACATAGGCTCTTTTGCCCTATATCTGGGTATAGCAGCCAAGAAGTTCCCATGGGCAGTGGCAAATCCAGCCAATCTTTCATGAAGAAGCCATACTACATATTTGTTAAATAATAAACATACTTGTTACAATATTGTATATTATTTATGACAAAAACTAGGCTGGGGGGGGGGGGAGAGGATGCCCCTGAATATGCCAGTGCCCATGGGTACTTCAACAAAAAATAAACCTGGTTGAGGTGGGACTAAAGGGCACATTTGGCATCTAAGGAGAGGAAGGGTGCCAACACAGCAGTGTAAAGAGGAAATTTGGGAAGGACATTTGGGCATAATGATCCAGAAACCTGAATGTATTACGGTAGCTGAAATAAGTGGTCAACAAAAGGAGGGTATGGTCAAAAAGCAGAGTGGCCACTTTTCCAAAAACAAATTTCCTCGGCTTTTCCCGTTTTTTGTGAGCATTTAGAAATATTTGACTGATAAGATACATACATATACATACACATACACACACACACTCATTATTTAATGAGTAATAAAATGTAGTTTTATAACCACCTTAAAATTTTGTCTGCTTCTAATGAGTCTTTCATAAATTCCCTGATTTTTCACAGTTTAGAAACCAAAAATACAAATAAACCAAGACTTCTTTTAATAGCATTCAAGAATAAATTATTACAAGGTTTAAAAGCCATATTTTGAAGATTTTACAGTATCTGACGTTTGAATAATTTGGTCTTAAATGTCAACATTTCATATTCATTAAAGTATGTGTGTGTGTACTACTATAAACTGTTATAATGTACCATGTTCAGTGAAATAACTGGCAAAGATCAGAAGCATTTCACATAACAGTACTCAAGTAAAATTGAAAATTTACACTGTTGCAAAATCACTAGCTTACTTTCTGTAGCATTGAAAATACACAGAAGGCGATTCAAATTTTGCAACAAATCTGGGTCGATGTTTAGCAATGAGTGGTTTGTTAAAAACTATTAAACGTGGTTAATTTTTATACCAATCAAGCAAATAAACTTTATCTAGCAAGAACAAAAACTTTGAAACGGGTCAAATTTAGTACATCAGGCCTAGCATTAACATCCATTTTAATTTTGGGCCCTACTGAATGTGGGCATATTTATCCCTACTATTATTTTGAGCTTCCGCAATAAAGCTAACTGAAATTTCATTAATCTTGTCACTCAGGCATTGAAAATTCTTTGGCAACAATGTATTTTCAAAAGCAAACTTTTGGAAGTTACTGTTCAATATGCATAGGTGAGTGGGGGACTATATCAACAAAGCTCTCTTTTATAAAGCTGCTTCTTTGACAAATTACAAATGTTTTCACACACAATATGCCTAAAATTACAAGGAAATGATTATAAGAATGTGTTATAGATATATCTTCAAAAACTGACATTTTCCTCCGGGGAAAAAGAAAACATATGGAATAAATAAAAGTTTTTGCTGTATTAACTACAATTACATGATACTCATTGCCTAGCTTAATACCTTAACATGTTTTTTAATTTTTATTTACATTATGATTAATTTCAGACCAAAAAGTTATTAATAGTTTGTGATTACCCATTCATAGATTTAGCACATAATTTACAGGGGAAAAAAATTGAAATAATAATAAGCCAGCCCCCACGGCACAGGTGATTGCAGCAGCCATCGTCTGCACCAAGGAAGCTGCAAGTCCGGCATAGGCAAGTCCATCATGACACACCACCTCTCTGGCTTAAAATATGACTGGGTCTCAGAATAGAACATGTAGCATTCTCGTAAATGGCCGAAAGCGCATATATGCTAATAGCCAAAAGCTTTAGTGACATGAGAGTTTACGTGAGACGTACAAGTTTAAAATGATTTTTTTAAATATTTCAGAACCTATTTCAAGAACAAGTTACTAGAGAAAGAAAAGCAGCACTATATAACAAGTTTTTTTTACTATTAGCATCAATTAACTCATTTATCTATTAAATCATACTATTAGCATCAAAATTAATGTTTTTGCACTATAATTTCTCAAAGTTGATTAACTCTGAAGAAAGGGATACTATGCATTCCCACTTTTTTTTATTAAAAGAAGCAAATGATTCCAAACACTAGATAATGACTAAATTTAAAGGCCTTTTCTAATCACATTTTAAATTGTTTCAGCATACAGAAAAAAATAATATTCAAATTAATATCTACACATGCAATTCAATACAACTGACACAGACTACTAAGGCACTTAGAAAAGGAAGGGGGAAAGGGGAGAAAAGGAAATGAGAAAGGAGTGAAGGACCTAGGGAAAAGGCAAAATGAAACAGGAGACAACACGACAACACTTGCAGTTTTATTAAATGTCAACATTAAAGTTCTGAGAAATTGGTTATGATTATTTAATTTAAAGGAAATTACCCCCAACTTATGGTATATTCTGAAACTCGGAATACGTTTTTTCAGAATACCACAACAAAACACATAGTTTTCTACAATTAAGAACTTACTTTCATTTCCCCCAAGTTCAATCATATGAAATAAACAAGGAGCGGATCACAGTGCAAGAAATCATATTAAAATTGATTAAAGGGTTTAACTGACAAAAACTCCAAATATTTAGATTATAAAACTCACAGATAATATTTATAATTTTTAAATAAATTATAATAGAATATAAAATAAAATTTTACTTATCAGAAATCTCAGATTACACATAAGGGTTAGATTTCTACATAATAAAGTATTAGAATACTTAAGAAATTAAAATTTCCCAAGATCTAATGCATTCATTCAACAATTGGCAATTACAATACATCATGCAATTATTTAAAAAAAAAATGGCAACTTTTTACTATGTTAGCAAAACACTGAACTCCTCAACCGTAAATTTAATGATACAAAAGATTCACACCTGGGCCATGAGCACCTCTCCATATGTTTCAAAATACTCCCGCAGCTGCTGCTCCGAAGTTTTCCATGGGAGACCCAGCACAATCAGATCTGAGCACTTCTGCTTAGTTTCCATGCGTTTGGTCTTGGCTGTTGAATTTTCCAAGTGATCATCAGATTTTCTTTTATTTTCTAGAAAATAATAGAACACGATGCCTTTACCTGTTATTTGATATATTCTGATATTTTCCGATCTGACTTTTACCATTATATCATGGTTTACTTTTTAAGTTATAGTCAGAAAATATCTGGATCAGACTCCAGAATATACCAAATACAGCAGTTGTAAGGCACTGTTTACTCTTATGAACGAGTGCAACTAAACAATCTTGCAGTAAAAACAAAACGTCATGCATCTTGTCTTTTAGTTATTTATGAGGACTGTATTCCTGGAACATCAACATTCATATAAATTACTCCCTCATAATTTTAATAATGTTGCACAGAGAATACTTCAACAAAAGGTAGATGCCACTTAAGAATTTAAAAGATTAACAAATGCCTGATGCACAGTATATGGGTGACCAAAGTAAACTTCTCTCCATTTCAACTCAAATTAAAGAAAATACAAAGACGCTTTAAATTAGAAATAGGAAGAGATGGTCAAAATACATTGTGGCATATAAAATTATGACTCAAATACACTTCTGAATAAATAAGTAAGTATTGACAATTTCATATACAATCAGCATTAACTATGAATATTAGGCAGCATTTGTTCATAAGAGTTCATTCACACACTTGAAAAATTCCTTTACAATACAATAACATTTAACACATAACTTAACACGGAGCGATAAATGACTGTAAATGTAATTTTCATAAACTTTCATCAACAACATCAAATTATTAGTAATGGGGCCGTAAAAATGCTTCACACATGCTGAAAAAAAATACAGATTGCCAACGACAAAATGATGGGTACACAATTTTAATAGAGGTTATGCAATGTATAAATAGTGCAAGACAAGAAATGGAACCTGAAGAAGAACATACTTTCTAAAGAGGCTCATACAAGCTCTCTAAAAATGCACTTCTTACAATGTCAGCTATATATATCAAAATACTTCAACGCGGTTGCTTACCTTTTGGGAAAACACAGTAATACACACAGTTACCCCATCCACTTTCTGGAGGATGAAGTCTTCCGTCAACTAATCGCACACCTCGCATTGTCCGAGATTCCGGGTTACGATATTTCAAACCACATGTTCCCGGAAACTGTGCTGCCAAAGTGGAAAGAAGAAGGGTAGTATCATCTTCTGTAGGGAGTTCTATAGGTTCCTCCCCTTCGTCTTCCGCAACTTGCAGATACGCGCTCATTCTCCAAATATTATATATAAATCCTCACACACAGATCGAAATACACCTATCTTACAGGTTTCAACATATTACACAGTCATTTACAATGCACCACCATGAAAACGGCTTTAATATCTTACTAACACTAATACAACTAACACTACAAGGTACCCAACCAAGTAAAGAATTGTTGATGAATTCTGGGTACAACCGGAGGGACGTGGTGGGGCTGTTGCCGTAAAAAGAGTTTCACGGAGTTTGCAAGAGTACTTTTTTCTTCTCTTTCTTCATTCAGATAGACTACTTAGTAGATCGTACGCCAATATCATTCAAGAGCAATATTAGTGGGACACCCACGAAATGGATCAAATAATGTATTATTCGGAAGACTCAAATCATGAAGGAAAAATATAACGAATTAGCCGATGGAAATCGAATTTTGATGAAAAAACCATTGTACTTCTTTTGAGAGCCAAGAAATTACCTATTAAAGTAGTTAATAGAACTAAGAAATTGGCACAATGTTACCATTTTCCCCAACTTAAAAAAATATCTCATTAACACTATTTAAATATGATTATAACAATTAAATAGAAGCCGTTCGTTCCTAGTACCCAGTGTTCATGGTAGCACAATAACCGTATATATACATTTTTGAGTGATAGGACTAGGGTATCATTTACACGAGAAATAGTTATTTACGTTATTAGTCTAGAAAGTGAGTCTTCAACGTACGAATGAAATGTTGAGGGACGAGGCGTCGGTATGAGCCACGTCCGGCATTTTGAAATGAGTACGCCAAAGACTAATTGGGAAGAGTTGCGTACAGTAGTTTTTAGCACGAATTCATGGAAACTTACTAGCATATAATCTTGGAATTATTCCCAATATGCGAAACGCCAGCCATGTTGATTCATGTCGCTCCAATGTTTTGTTTACTTTGCAATATTACTCAATTGTTTTATACCCGAACACTACTTTGGGGTACGCGTAGTACGGCAAAGTAGGGACCGCACTTTCCAATCAGTAAACAGTGCAGGCAAGAACTAGTTTCCATGCAGGAATACTGACAAAAGTTTTTTTTTTAATAGTGAAATACTTAAATACTTAACGTCTTCGCCTCTTAAAATTTGATGTAGGCCTAAATATGTCAGATGTCCAAAATGAGGTGGATACAGTTCACAGAAGAAACAGTTTCGAAGCATAGTTCGAACTTAAGCCTTACGGCTTAAGGCATGGGGCCTGATGATGGAACAAATGGATGGATGGGGAAAATAAGTAAAAAAATAAATGAACAAAAATTAGAGCTCGCGAAAATAGTTATCGTAATTTTATAAGCCGCGATTCAGTAGTATATTTCATAAAATTTTCTATTATTTTTTACGTTAAATAATTAATTATAGTCATTACTTGTAAGGAAGGACTATGAAATGAATTGAAAATGCTAATATTAAAAAAATACTACTGAAATTCATATTTATTTTATGAATTTAATAAGTTATTTTATTAAACTGTAACTAAACACAAAATTGTTTAGCGTTTTAAGTTCACAGTAGAAATCGCATTATTTGATAACCAAATACTTTTATTTAATATATATATATATATATATATATA